GTGTGACTTTAATCTTCTCAGTTCTAACTTTTGTTAATTTGGAAACTGAAGCTACATTTAACCATGTCCACATAATATTTCCAGGCTCATATCTACGATCATCTTGACCAGAAGTTGGGCAGGGTCTGCTTAAGGTCTCAGGCCTGCCAATGCTGTTGCAAAATGAGGCTGGTAGGTCATTCATACCTTGTCCATCTTCCACCTCACAGACGTGATTTTTGACACCAAGAAGAGTGGGACTTTGGGGCCCATGACAAAAACATTTTGAGTGCTTTTGAGCCAGATTTCTTTTGCTGTTCACCATACTTTATAAATAAAGGCTGGTCCCCTACTGTCAGTGGTGAGACAGTACTGCACCACAGGTAAGAGCAGACAGTGCAGTGGCCTGGGCTCAGACCGGCTCTGCACCTTGCTAGCAGTGGGACACTAAGCAAGTTGTATACCCTGAGAGTGGAGACAATAATAGTACTTATTCCCAGGGGGTATTATGAGGATTAAAAGAGCTAATATGTTTGAAGTGCCTGCAACTGTGCCTGATGTGAAGTGAATGCTGTACACCTGTTTGCTGTCATTGAGACAACAGGTCTGCCCAGGGTCACAGAGTTACACAACAGCAGAACCAGGGTTCCTATCCAGGTGTGTTTGACCCAGGCCTGCTGTTCAGAACCACTATGCCTGGTCGCCTTCAGTGAAGAGGAAGGGTGTAAACACCACAAGGCACCTAGGTTCCACCTCCAGTTCCTGGAAAAAAAGTATGCCCTGCTGGCCGGACACGTCCCCACGTATACACATTCTAGGGGGCCATCCTTACCTGGATGTAGTCCACCGAATCACCAAGGGCCTTGAAGGCTGTGTACATGACTTCGCACTTGCCTCCCCACTTCTGCATGATGCATGAGAAGGTGCTGGCATGTACTACGTTCCGTACGCGGTCCATGCCCTCCTGTAGGCTGGCCTCTGTCTCACCCTCTCCAGCCTCATGGAAGTTGCTGCGCCACACAAAAAAGCCAGCTTGCTCCGTGCCACCTAGCACTTCGTGGAAGATGTCCAGCATGTAGGCGTCCTCCTGGCGATTGCCATCCACCACCATGACCACCTTGAGGTCAGGGAAGGAGATGCGCTGGGCAGAACGCAGGCACTTGCGCAAGTAGTCAGGGTCCTCCTGGTATGCGGCAATGCACAGTGCCACCGAGCCCCGCCGGGGAGAAAGCAGCTTCAGTGGCCGGCTGGCCCGCCGCATGCGCCTGTGCTCCAGGAAGGCAAACAGGCTCTGGATGAGCAGGTGCAGGCCCAGGATGGCGCCGTACAGGCCAAAGGACAGGTAGTGCTTTTCTGTGTGGATGAACTGGTAGCCTGTCACATAGGCTGCCAGGATGCCACCCAGCACTGCCAGGGCAAACAGGCTGGTGCCCACCACACGCAAGGCTGTTGTCAGCTGCACCGGCATCTGGCAGGAGAAACCAGGAGATGTGTGGTCAGGCTGGAGCAACTTTCCATCAGTGGGAAAGTGAACATTCTCCATGTCTGGCCTGGAC